AACTTGTGAGACCTTCTTTTCTTGATAATAGCTACTAACTGATAACTTACGACGTTATACATAACCGGATCTGGAATATGAGGTAACGAGGTTTCAATTCTTTTTGGGTCGGGATAAGGCCAACTGCATTTCCTGGGTGAGCTTCTTCTTGTTTCTTCTGTTTTTGTTGTTTCATTTTATGCAAGCGCCTTGGAAGTCTTTATCGTCTGAATTGTTCCAACTTCTAAAAACTTACAGTTTACAAGTCGAGTCAGGGCGGAGATGGTGCAGTGACAAGTGGGGCGCTCACCATTCGCGCGGTCCCGGGTTCGAATCCCGGGTCGACTCCCGCCCAGGCCAACCAAGCCTTCTACCCTCCGGGGACGGTGAATTGGTACCAGATTCGTCTGGGAGGATAAAACACTGACTTGTACATCGGCTGGCCACCGCAAGTCATTGTATAGGCCACATCGCATTCAATAAGCCACTACGATTCTGAATGGAAGTAGAATGCGTGCCGCATCCCACAAAGGGATTGATCAACGGCGAAGACTTTATCCTTTTATCCTTTAAGTCGAGTCAAAAAAAAAAAGAAACAGAAAGAAACTCACCTAGGAACCAAAACACTAATCATTTTACGCAACATCAACAGGTGAAAACTTTATAACCTCATGTATAAGCTCGACGAATGAAAAAAGAAACAATAAAAACCTACCCTAAATGAAGCTCTCACGCTTTTTGCTCATTTCTATCCTGAATCAAGAAAGAAAATAGAAAACAAAAGCCATTAAGTTGGGTTCACCTTTCTTTGTGTCAAACCAAGCTTCAGTATCTAAGAAAATTGCAGTTAAAGGAAAAAAGCATGAAATTGAGTCGCTTCTTCCCAAAAGCCTTCGGAGCGCAAGTAATAGCGTTGGGGCGCGCTCTGCCATGTACCGACGATCGCGGCGATCGCCGCTGCTTTCGCGAAGTATGAACGCTGCCTAAGTGAGATGCGATCTCCGTTGCGCAACCGCGTTGCTCCCTTAATTACAATAGCGGCAATATTTATGCTGAATGGTCGTTTTATGCGGATCTCGTGTACCGTAACATACCTTAATAAGCAACATTTATTTAATCTGCCTGATTCAGAAAACTGGTCACATTATGACTAGGTGGGAAGCTGACTACTATCTGAGCCCTACCTACGACCAATTCCTGTTTGACGAATATCTGGAAATGGGTAAGAAATACTGTACTTCAAGACAGAACCTCTGTTTTTTCTATGAGAATGATGCATTCTTTTACAGTACTCCAATTTGGATTCGTGACATTGTTTGTGGCGGCATTCCCGTTAGCTCCACTGTTTGCTGTTCTTAACAATATTTTCGAGATCAGGCTTGACGCTTACAAGTTCCTTATTACAACCCAGAAGCCTGTACCTGCTCAAGTTGGTTATTATGAACTATTCCAAATGTGTTACTGAGATACACTCACTTTGTTGTGCTTTACAGGCGAGGAACATCGGTGTATGGTTGAGAATTCTGGACATGATTAGCAAATCCACTGTTCTCATAAATGTGAGTCCATCAGCAGTCATTACCATTTTTTGAGGCACGTTATTTGTATAGGTTGATAATGCACCTTGGGCTGGCGTCCCGCAGTAGCTCTGGTGTACATTGATAGTCAGAACCTTCGTTACTTTCTCGACGGTCGGAGCACTTTTTTTTCCCATCTTCATTTCTGTGCGGTTCCTGACAGGGAAATTGAGTGAGTTCTCAACCAGAGACCCTTATAGGCAGACTTCGCGATGAGCCTGGTTGAGTAACAGAATTGTATAAGCTAACAGATTCTCTCGTGAAGGAAAAGGGGAAAGGAAATCGCTGAGAAGGCTCCAAATAAAGCCCTACTTTTGGCACGCGAAAGACAAGAAATCAATGTGGATATCGGGAGAGAGGCCAGAGAAAACAGCGAGAGAGCATGCAAACGAAGGAGAGCGTAAATGAGACATCTATCAACTTGGGCAGAGTCACTCGAGGAGCCTTGCGCATTACCGCCGCTACCTTGCCTTTTTGTGACGTGATACTTGTTCGCTGTAGTCCACACTACCTCTCCCTGCAATGAGTTTAGATAATTTGGTAGATAGGTTGCAGTGGGCTCTGCCTTTAAAAGGGCATCGACTCTGCCAACTCTCGACAGGCGATTGACTTTGATGGCCAATATGGCTTGGCTATAGACTACCACCGCCTACCCAATCCTTCAATTCCATGCGATAAAAGTATCAGCCATCTTGTCGTCCTAATGTGTGCTTTTATTTGGCACAACAATATGCCCAACGATACTCTTTAGCCTCCCTGTGTAGGTGGTGCAAACTCCTTCCTCATCAGAGCAATACTCCTCTACTTCCCTTCATATTAGTGGGCGCGCGCTCTGAGTTCCGGGAGGGATCAGGGGATGAATTTGAAGAATTCTTCACTTAGCTAATGCACAGTAGTCTACAAACTGTAACGCTTGTACGAAATTGCTAACCTCTCCTCTTTTCCTTGCTATGATCTCGCTCGAACCATCACGGCAGTTGATTGTAACCAGTTTCAATTTTTAAAGCTACCAAATCACTGACGCTCAAGTTTCATGGGCAGGGATTAGAACACTGGTGTGAAAAAGATGTCAGGTATACGTTGTCAGTTCTGCTTGGTGTCCAACAGTCCATATCTTAGAGATGGGCAGAGTTACGGGAGACGGGCAAAAGAATCGTAAATCCGTCGCGCGCGGCAATACTCATGACGCTTCCTTCATGTGCACTCCCTTTCGATGGGAGCATCGGTTTTCATGTAGACAAAAACATGGCAAACACTTATGTCTATTTTTGGTCACATTTTGTCTATTATCGATCAATACCACCTAAAATCATTGTCATGACGTCGCACGCGACGCCCACTGGCGCGGCGAATTACGATTCCCTTCACATACCCCAAAGTTACACACAGCGCTTTATTTGCACATGGCATAAGATAACCCATTATGTTGATCTTGAAGCGACAATATCTTATGAAAATCGCAACCGTCGCCGCATATTATGTACGTAGACACCCTCACTACTTCCGGGATATGAAGTTAACACCTCCCATCAGTGAGACAATGGTAGGCGTGGCTGCGTACTCCATTTGAATATGGCGTGGGATGTGCTGCTTGTGGGATCCTATGTGGAATTTGCGACGACTATCAACTTGTCTTGTACTGGGTAAAGACATGATCATAACTTTCCTAAAATAAATTTATCTCATTGTCAGCAGAAGCGCAGCCATCGCCGTTTTCGAATGTAGCACACAGCCACGCTCCTAAACCTCGGAGATTTTGAGAACCCACTGAGCTCTCGTGTGATGTTCGTTCCCTACTTCATAAGAGTCTATCAAGTCGTTACTCTGACCGTTGCTTGTGCAATCGAATCATAGCCATATACTTCCTTCAAACGTCGCCTGTAGAAATGTTCAAACTTTTTCTTACCATGTCGAAAAGTTTGCTTTCAGGCACTTGTGATAGCGTTCACATCAGATTTCATCCCGAAAACTATGTACTATATCGCGAATAGTTCAATGACTGGCTATGTGAACTCGTCTCTTTCATACTTTGATGCCACTGAATTTGATATGAAGTCGTCGCAGTTCAGTAATGTCACCCAGTGCAGGTAAGTGAGGAGCAACACGTAGGTTGATAGATGTCCGGAACATCGTCATTTTCGGTATTTTAAATGATAGCCCCTTCAGGTATCGTGGGTATCGACGATCACCTTGTTCTATAATGTCAGTGAGGTCAACCGTATATGGACCAGAAGACTGTGATGATGGACTAGAATACTCGTTGGTGTGGTGGAAAGTACTGGCCGCGCGGTTGTTGTTTGTCGTCATTTTTGAGGTAAGACATTCTGAATAGGGAGCTGATGGAGATCCAGAGAAGGCTTAGTCAAAGAGGGAAACATAATGGATCCAAGGCAAGGGGTGTGTTCATCACATGATGTTACAAGTTATCAAATTCTTGTGATGAGGAAACTGTTCTTTTACTTTGTATTAATGGCTTCCATCGAGTAAATTCGCATTTTGAATCCAATGTGATTGCATTAGTGGGAAAGGAAAATTCGAAGCCCTAAGTCCCCAGTTCATAATATGTGCCTCCAAAAAATGGCCTTAATATCAGTGGAATCGTCCTGAAGTTGTCTTCCCAACGTATGATATATAGGTTGGAAGGAAAGTCCTGTCAGTGTTTTTTGAAAAGCTTACAGTTTTTGATTCTCGATGCTCGTACATGACGTAACATGCTATGCTTGTAGGACACTCTGGGAGCTTTCCTGCAAGAGGCGTGTGAGGGCGCCTGCTCTTCCCTGGGTTTAATTACGATGTCAGTTTCACAGGAGTATCTTCGAGTCATCATCTTCTATCAGTGGCCCCGCGGCACTGGAGCCACGGCAGCTGTCCGTAACATCAACAGTGCATTGAGAAAGGACACCACTATCGTCAGGATCGTTCACTTTTAGTTCGCTCGCTTCGCGAAAAGAAACTCGATCCTCGAAGGCAAACCTTGGTTGGGACGGCCCCAAGAAGTATAAGACTCCACCATTCTCGAAGCAGACAAGGGGATCCAGAGGCTACCACCCGCAGTCTTGCGACAAGACTCGGATGTACCTAACTGACAGTCGTCCACCGCCTGTAAGCCTTTGACTACCAAGAAGTACTGGCTTGATGGATCATTCATACCTTGACCGATGGCACGCTGTGCACCCGGGTACCCCTTGCTCAGTCTCCCCTTCTCTGCCCTCGTCAGAAGGAGTTTCCGGGAGACTGCTTAGTGGGGATGAGAGATGGGTCCTCTATGATTTCAACCCACACAGTACCGTTTGTCTCTCTCAAGGAGAAGATCCATTCTAGCAGTCCAAACCGGGCATGTATTCCGAAAAGGTTCTCCTGTGCTGCTCCTGGGACGCGAGGAGGTGCTGCAGAACGAGCTGCCCCATAAGAACAGACGGTCACCGCCACCATTTGTGTCGCTCAGCTCCCGAAACGAGTGAAAATTGTTGGAGAAAAATGACCGACTAGCTTCGGGTCACCTCGTTCGTAGTACACGAGACCCCATACCTGCTATGAAGACCTACCAAATAATTGAGGAGCAAGGCTGGAAGACCAGTCCCCGCTCATAATATTCTCCTGACGTAGTCCCCTACGACTGCTACCTGCTCCGCCTCCTTAAGGCTTTCTTAGCTAAGAAAACTTTCAGCAATTTTGATGACATCAGTCGAGAGGGCGCTGACTTACTCTACTCGCAGCCTTCTCAGTTCTGGGAGGAGGGGAATGCTTACCTGTCCATTGGGTGGAGCACTGTAGTGGCTAACTATGACGAGTATATTGTTGACTAATTCCCACTGTATATTGAGTTAGAAAATAAAAAGGGAAAAAAGTCACAACAGTGACAAGACTTTCCTTCCAACCTATATATATTACGGGCTCATCGGATGGACCATACATTGACAGAGACTGTCGGTGATTCGGTGTACGTATCATCTTTTTTGATGCCCCTTCTAAACAGCTGGATCATAATGACAGTACTAGTGCTGTATAGCACTGGCGCCTAACCGACAGTTGCCTTGTTAATAAAATGGGGATCTTGAAATTATGGACTAGAAAAGAGGATGAGTGCTGGAAATTCGGCGCTATCGGTAAAGCTTTTTGACTTGTTTTAATGCTTGAGCTGTGTATGTTCCAAAAAATGGCTTAAATGCTTGAGAATATGGGAGAATGCCTTTTAAATGATGTGTTCGATCGAATCTCTATTGCCACTGCTGAAAATTGTTTTTTTTTCAAATGTAGGCTGATCGTCAAGTAAACATAAATACAGCAAAGCACATTCACCTATTGGATTCAATTATAAATTTGTACCAGTGATTAAAGAAAACCTTGGGAAAAGGTTTAAAGGCTTTTGACTTCGACAGCCTCTCCCATCCAACCTAAAAGCTTCAGATCTTTTCTTTTTTCAAGGATTTGCTTCATTTTATCAACTCCCGCTGAAGGTTTTTGTTGTTTATGGAGAAACTTATGTAGGAGATAGCAACGATAATTGCAGGATTACACCACATAGGTTCCCCTGTTCGATCAGATTTCGTTTTCGGAGACGGCTTCGTTTTAGAGTCTACCCAATTATCGGTACAACGAATCCCGAGAGTTAATGACCCACCTGAGAGATGGATGTGAATAGATCCATAGTTGTGTGCGAGGTGAACAGGTCCTCAATGAATACATCACATACTATACGCTGTCAACGCTACAGCTAGAACGGAGGCGAATAAGGTGGCTTAAAGACACATGGTACGCTCAAACACATTGAGGGTGTATGAGACTATCAGCCCCCAGCTGTCGATGTGTCGTGGTCCCCCGCCCAAAACTGCACGGGGTCAGAGTACGGGTGGGAAAGTCGTAATTCCTTGCTACACCGCCCTCACGTTTATGCTAACACCATCCGCGCGGCGCGGTCGCGCCAAGTCCTGTAATTGCGCTTTGGAATACAAGTACAACGCAATTTCTTTATGCGGATAACATTTTAGGTGCTAAAAAGAGCAACTGTGTGCTTCTGCAATATCCCTCAGAGGCCGCGCATTCCCACAGAACATGACAATAAAACAACATGACAATAAAACATGACAATACAAGCAAAACGCAATTTCCTAACATTTGAGGTATTGCTCATGCTTCAAAGTCCGAATAGAAGGTGATGAAGATGACAAAAGGCTAGAAATGAAGAACAACGAATGTAGATGTAAATAAAACAAAATTGAAAAAACTAAGGAAACGCAATAAATTAAAATCGCGTGTGCATTTCTGCGATCCGGCTCGAATCCGGCTCTAATGCTATAGAAATACTTCAAACTAACGAGTGGGACGCTTAGGCCGTTTTTATTTTGATGTTTTGTGGGAATGCGCGGCCTGCGAGGGCTGTTGCAGAAGCAGCACAGTTGCTCTTGAGTTCTAGCCCTCGTCATCATCTTCAGTTCTTATTTTGCAGAACCTAAAATGTTATCCGCATAAAGAAATTGCGTTGTACTTGTATTCCAAAGCGCAATTACAGGACTTGGCAAAAAGCCAAGAGAGCTGCACGCGACCGCGCCGCGCGGACGGTGTTAGTAAAAACGTGAGTTTGCAAAAACGGGCGGCGTAGCAAGGAATTACGACTTTCCCACGGTCCCGTACTCTGACCCCGTGCAGTTTTGGGCGGGGGGACCACGACACATCGACAGCTGGGGGGCTGATAGTCTCATACACCCTCAATGTGTTTGAGCGTACCATGTGTCTTTAAATGGCCCATTCTTTTCGAATTATATTTGACCTTTTTTGCATTCCCAATAGCGTTTAGCAAAAATGAACCCCATCTGTGTGGTCCTTGCATGGACCCCTACATCATGCAACAAACCGTTTTTGAAAAGCTCACCACGACCTGAACGACCTCCCTTGTAAGTGACGAAGGCGCTGTGGCCTTCATAAGTGGCACTTCCAACGCCTCCCCAGATGTCCCACCCACCGAAACCCAAAGGCTGTTTTCTGTCACAAGTCAGTTTCACGCCACATTATCCGTTACTTTCGCTGTTATGGTATTAGTATTGAATGACGTGGAGAAATTATCATTGAGCCAGAGATCAGAAGATATCGCTTTGTTTACGTGAAGACAGCGCCTGCGATCGCCTTTTGTGGGTTGTAGAGCTGTTAACCATTAGATCATGTTGTAAGTACAATACTAGCGAAGTAAAAAGTAAAGAAAGCGTTGAAAATGCCCCATCAAAACGTCTTGTACGGGTTCGAAAATGGACGAGTTAATCAAACTTTGGGCGAGTTCTCTGTATCTAATCGCCACTTGCTGCGGCTCATTCTTCAAGGCATATTCGACAAGATTAGCAGTTATCACCGCTAATTGTGGTGAAAAAATGATCGAAGAAGAACCTGTTGACTCGGCCTTCATAGGCGGAGTCAGCTTATCGTTGCTGGACTGTCGTGGTTTGATTAAAGGCAGTTGGCACGATGATTTGGTGCTCGGCCTAAAATGCTAGTAGGGCGCTATATAGTGGGGAAATGGCGAAAGAACGGAGTGAAACGGTCAAAATCCTGCGAAAAAGAGCCTCCGTTCTCACTGTGTTAGTAATCGATTTCGGACGAGTTTCCCGTAGGCATCTTACCAATCACCGCTACCGAAGATACGGCTGCATATGTGTACCCATGTATGCATGCAGCATCACGGCCGCTTCATACCAATCCCTTCGCTTCATAATTTGCTTAGCAAATGAATGAATACGAGCGTCAGGAACGGTCGTCCATTTGTGGGCGGGCGGGCGTGGCGGGCGTTTGGGACGTAAAGTTGTGGCTTGATAGGGCCCTTATAAGGGCACCTTCCTCGGGGAAACCGCTATGCAGCGCCTGCCCAGGGTCGCGGAATTCTATCCTGCCAGGAGTATTGATCCTAGTCGCCTTGGGGGATTTATCGTGCCAACTGCCTTTAAGCGCTTTTGAGCCGCGAAAAATGGATATCCACTGTGTCCGCAAGTTTCGCGATCGAGGTGGAACTTGTTGACTCCATCTTCATAGGATTTGTGTTTGTTGACTCCGCCTTCAGACAAGTGGCGATTAGATTCAGAAAACTCGCTCAAAAATTTGATTAACTCGTCCATTTTAAAATCGCACATGTGGTCTTTTTAGGGCATTTTCAGAGGAATTTTTAGCTTTTATCTTTTTAGCATTGTACCTACAACATGACCTAATGGTTTTAAGCTCATTTCGTCAAAGGCGATCACGGGCGCTGTCTTCATGGTGTTTTCCATGATTTTCGCTTTTTTCTTGCCAAGATAGTCATTTAGCGACTAAATTTTTTTTAATTTGGCGCCACTATCCACAGTATACCATCCCAGGTTTTCGCCTTTAGGGTGTAGTGTGTTCTCGAGGCAGTTTCAGCAAAAAGTCAGAGAAACGAAAACTATTCGGCGAACTTATTTGAATGAATAATCATCATTAAAGTCATCGAGATGTTCAGTAGACTTCCTTACCCCATTGTGAGATTGATAACTTCTTCAGAGCCGAGTTTATTTGAGAAAATTTCGTAATACGCTGTGACTATGATGCAGAGGGGAGAAAAACAGGTGTCGGGAAGGTGGAGTTGTCGTTTCTAGTGTGATTTATTTTCGCTCGTCAAGAAAGCGATCATACAATTTTGCGGGATGTAACATCGTTGCATCCATTTTTTTCTGCTTGCATAAAGGTGTAATCAAAACACTGGGTTCTTCATGTCGAGAAACATGTTTGCCTCTCGTCGACACCACAGTTGTCGCCTTTGTGATGCATTTTGGAAAAATTGTGAGGAAAAAATTCCTCATAGTTACTATAGCGGAGAGGCTTCTGTGAAGCAGTGTTTATCCCGCATAGCGTGAGCTAGGCTCCACACGGTAGAACCTTCGGCTTCTGAAGAAGACGAGAAGGTCGAAACGTCGGCCAATAAAAGGTTCTATCTAACAACCTCGTTTGGCAGATAATTAAATATTCGACATCATGCCGAGGTTACAACAAGGGACAACGTGGGAAATGTTCGCGTGAGTGTCTGAGAAAGCTCGGTTGGCCTGGGCGCGATTGGATTCCATGACTTTCATGACTTTGCCCCTGGATCATGTGTCAGAAAGTGGCGCCTTTTGCCTTAACATCACCTTCCTGCTAAACCGACAATTGGCCTGCGAACAAGATGGGAACCCGCTTCAAAATTATGTAAGGCAAAAAGAGTGGTAGATGGTAGTCGAATTCGTTCTTGGCCGTGCCCACCCTTCATAGATAGTAATCTAGCGCTGCGAACGAAGGGGTGTGTCAGCGGGATGAGTTCGGCGCTTTGCCAACCAGTTCTCCGCCGGTTGTTGAAGCGAGCAAATGATTAGACTGTATCATCTCGTTCGTATCGCTCGTTTTCTACCAATTGTCCTATACTATAATAGAGAGCAAGAGAGAGAGAAGACAGCACAAAGCTTCATCTGGTGAATGCAGAGCGAAGAGTGAAAAGTGCGTGACTGTATCTGCTCGAGTTAGTACAACCGCATGCCCCACCCCCAACAGTTAGGGTCGAAGGGGCATCATCGGCGACGATGACAGTGCCTCACGCCCCTTCATCCGCGGCGAACTGGAATATATTTTGATCACTTTTATGAAGATCTGAGGCCAGAATTTTACAATATTGGTGGTGATTATCGGCGTTCCGCAAATTGAAAATCAAAAAGAATGGAGTATTAATAGTGCCAATACATTCCCTTTTTCCGTCTGATTGCAATTTTGTTCCAGCACATCGTCTTTGTGATCAAAATAGTGATTGAATACATGATTCCCGATATCCCTGCCAGAATATTCGTTCATACATTATAGGGAGAAATATCTGGTGAGGAAAGCTTTGCTAAGCGAACTCGTATCGGGAAGGATATCATCAGATGGGCCAACACCTGAACAGAAAGCGTAGGTGATTTGGTTCCACTACATTTGCCTATGAGGCTCCATTTCACCAGCCGTATTGTAGTAAATACAGTTACAGTGCTGCAAATGGAGATACCAGTGATACAGCATTCCAGCCGGGGTCTTTTGAACACGATGTGAGTTACCATAGCTTAATTACAACTTAAAAGCAAACTGTACACTCAGCTTCAAAGATGTTCCTTGCCATATGCGAGGAGAACGGATCCGCAGCTAGAGTAGTGTCCCCTTTTCTCCGCTCAGTGCTCGGGAAAGGGGCTAGAGGGTAGTGATTCTGGGGTGCCGTCTCCCTGCTGTGCGACCGCTTTCCTCAAGATGCGAAACTTGCCGGATTCCGGCAGGAACACGCACTTAGAGGTAGAGAACACCAGACAAGGTGCAGACAAATATCGCGTTTGGCTTTGGTTGGGCGTGAGCTGGCCGTGCGGCATCATAGGTGGAGTCGGGAGACGGTGCACGGTTTTAACAATCCCCCAACCCCGTTGCTGATCCATTTTCTTCGTTTGGTGAATGCACAGTTTGTCACTAACATTTCTTTGTTGTATTCTACTATTACTGCTTCATAATCAATTTACTGATACATTGCAGTCACCACGAAAGGAATCCGAGTCGTCATATACGACGGCGTACCAAGGACGAGAAAGCATGCAAGAACTTTTCGATGGATTGTAATTCACGGTTGATGGACTATGAGATTATGATCCTCAGTGGATTGCATCGGCGTAGTGTAACTTTTGCCCTACCAACACATATCTGGTGTGTAGAAGGGGCACGCTGTAGAACGCTTTTGCGACCTCATTCCTAACGGAAACGAACAATATTTTCGCGAGTTTGATCGTGCTTGCCTTTTTGATGCTTTCGAGTGGTGCTGTGATAGGCATGGATGGCACCAAATCCAACTTCGTTGATGAGCTTAAATATTACTCTGACTTTGTACCTACGACTAGCATAGGAAAGCGCGCTATTGTACTTCTCTCAACCCAATTCTCTTCGAACGAAGGGCGTTCCCGCGTCCGACGGCTGCGCGTCAGGAGGGTGGATGCCGGGAGCGATTATCATCCTCTCTCTGCGCTCTCTGATATTGACTCTGCGCTCATACACCCACCCGCGAGCTGTTTACTCACTCTTCCGTCTGGGCTCTCATCGATCGATAATGGCTGACGCGCAAAGGCAACTGTCTGCTGTATTCCTGTTCTTTCAACTTATAAAAGCTGAAATTATCTTTCGTTCGGCTTCATTCGGGAAACGTGAATATGTTTAGTAGAGCTGAACTTTATTTGGCAGGATTTTAGCATGATGTCCTCTTCAATAATTAGTTTCTTTTCGTTATTTTCGCCTTCTCTTGATTTTTTTCTTGAATGTCTTCGTTTAACATCATGTAATTGACTAAATCATGCGAAATACAATCTAGCTTCAGTGGAACAAATTTACCGTTTCTTTATAAAGCTGGGACTTGAGTAATAATTTCAGCTTTAGGAAGGTTTAAACAGCAGAATTAGCTGGCCGTTCACATCAGCCACCATAGATCGCGACGCCGTTGGACTGCTCGCCGACGTGGACGTGGGAACGCCCCTTTTCCCGAAGAGATCTCGAGTACAATATGCGGACAATTCGGTGCGGAGCACTCATGAAATTTTGTACCGCGACACCTTTATTTTGTTATAAAGGTTTTGCAAATAACACCCACTTAGTTTGGAATATCTAAGACCCTTTTTTGCGGGATGGTACTTCACCGGGTGAGCGCCATTCTTGCGGTCCGAGGATAACCTTCAGTCCTTGGCTATTCACACCCTCGTGCATTTAGTGCCATTCAACATGGAAAGCTGGTAACATTTTTTTTTGCGTCGAAGAATACCTTGTACATTATTTGCGATTACTGTTTGATTCTTGGGCGACTATTGCACCAAAATGTCCCTACATTAGAACAGCGCCTAGAAGCGCTCTACAAGGCGCACTAAAGGTTTTGAAACAACCCTGCTCTATTGTGGATAAGGTGAACTCGTCTTTTAAAGCATCTTATTTTTTGCTAGCTTTGACGAGAACGTGTTGCTGATGGTGTTAGGCAGCTGTATTTTAGAAATGCTTTTATTTTTGTCGAGGCAAGCTTCCAGCAGTCTAGAACAGGTTTTTTCGCGGCAAAGTTCGGTAGAACTTACGAAAATTTCAGCCTCATTTGAAATGTTCCAATAAGTGAAGCCTCTTGAAGTGCGAAGGATGAGTTCTGATCCATACGCTGCACAGAATGGGTCAAAATGAAAGCGACATGTATGGGTACTGGTTGTATTTTCCCTTCACCGGTGCATAAACAGGTTTATCCATCTCCCTCAGTAGTAAGCGTTCAAAGCTGGTTAGCGAGGACATTTAGAGCTCCCTGTTCTATGCGATCGCCAGACAACAATTGCATTAGACAATGAGCGTTCATGTGGCTGCCTCACGTAAAAAAGTATATGATGGGGGAGCCTCATACAAATGGCGCTTTCACTCTTATGAACCAGACTGGGAAATTATTCCACATTATCCGAGATTATTGGATCGATCTGGATCACTGCTTGTAGCTTCACATATGTCATTTTGTACCTTTGAATGACTCCATGTGTGAAGGTCTTTGGACGCTGTTCGCCTTGGGAGGGGCATTCAAAACATTTGCTCGTTCATTTTGCTAGTTATCTTAATTAACAGGTTACGCTTTGGTGAGACCTTGAAAGTCTTGTGCAGCTGCGAAATGGATAAGTGGGCCGCTTCGGTTACAGTAATTCACAGGTCTTCACAAGGCGACGTTTACAGGTTCTGCTGAGTACGTTTTGTTTAGTCCCCACCCAAGCCGAACTTGCCAGTCGATGCCTATCAAATCTTGTGTCACAAAAGTGCAGGCCCTGGTCATTAAGTCACTCAAGTGGGTAGCAGTAGTTCAACAGCTAATGAGTAATCACTGGTTTTTTGGCGCTGTTCGCGGAACATATTATAAACCTCTGTAAACTGTTGTGAAGCTACGAGTTCCTTGAGTTCCAGGTTTCATTGGTGAGATTCTCTGTGAACAATTTTTCGCCACCAGTGAGCATTTTTCCATTGCGATTAGCAAAAATATCGGTCTTCTCGTCTTTCCACAGTTATTTCTCCTAGCTTGCCTCTTCCTCGTAGCTCCCCTTCACAAACACAAAGAAAGAAGAAATGGCCGAGTACTTAAGCCTTACTTAAGTCGTAGCTGTATTAATGTTGTTATGCGAGGTCCTTATTCAGAGCAGCCCGGCTCCCCCGTCTCCATATGGGGGAAAATGGGGAGGGCAAGGCTGCGTGCTTCATTTGAGCTCGCTAAGTCTGCATGTGTGAAGGATTTCCGTTTCGAGACAATCAGTCATATCATGTCATGTTTCGCTCCGGGCACAGGTAGCAATGAAAGTTGTCTCAAATGGAACGCATCCAAAGGATATCCTACATCACATCCCAAATGCTGTACAACAACCGGCCCTTCCATCTTCCGGATGCCGGGTACTGTCCACGTGTCCTTCCCCTTCCCTCCGAGCCAGGCCGCCTTTTCTTCAGTATTGAGGCTTCAGAAAGCCAGCAGAGCAGTTGGCCCGCTGTATTACTGTACTATAAAGATTTGTTTGATTCTGCGGATTTGAACTGGCATCAAGGCATTTGCGGAATTCTGAACTGTTTGATTTTTGATTGTTTAGGTAGTGATGAGAGACTATGAGTCATGTTAGGCTATGTTGAGACTTCTAGTTGAGATGCTAGTCATTGTTTTGTTGTCTGTTTTGATAACTTGTTACTCTGCATGAGCCGCCCAGCCATTGCGCTTTTTTCTCATCTACGAAGTGCGTGTCGCTCACATCATTTGGCCATCTGTGATAGACCGATGTATTTTCCTGTATTTGATAGTGTGATCTGACCATAAAGTGATTCTCCGTTAAGACGTTATTTGGTTTTGTATCTGAATGTGTATAACAATGTGAAACTCAAAATTCATTTAAAAAACCTCAAAAAGACAGCGAAGGGTCAAAAGTTTTTTTAAAATATCTTGTACTGTATTTCGGTGCGTAGCACCTTCGTCAGGCCCAGTTATCCCGGCAATTTTTTGCCTTTTTTTGAAGCATCGCAAAATAAGATTTTCTAAAAAAAGCTGAGGCTTTTGCTGTATTTTGAGTTTTTTGGAATAAATTTTTGGAGTTTCACGTTGTTATTAAACATTAGATAAGAAGTGGGACCAGAGCACATCATTGAGTGGGGATTCTAGTCTAGTCTGTACGACCCCCTTTTTTGTGCGTTGGTACGACACCCCTCCCCCCCCCCCTTCCGCCCTCTGTCCTTCCTTCAGTCGAATCGAGCCGTCGAAGGTGGGGAGGGGGTATATAGTACGCATGAAATTGCAAAATCACAAAAAGTCAACCACTGCTCCTACAATGCCCCAACGTAAATACGACCCCCCCCCCTCTCAACGATGACCAAGTACGACCCATCTCCCTTTACAACGTCCGGGAGGGAGAAGGTCTACTATCAAAATAAATTTTTCCCAACCCAAATACGACCCCCCCCTCCCTGGCGGCCAAAAACAACCCCTCTATTAAGGATTTCCCCGACAAAGATTGCCCTGAGTGAGACTCCGGCGACAAGCATCCATACTCCAAGTATTTAGTTTGGGCACAGTCAGCCCTTGCGGTCTCGAACGGTGTCGTAAGCTTCCCCCATCTTGTTAATGATTCATGCCTGTTATTGTGATTTCCATCTCCGTAGGGGTTGAGTGTGTGACGGCGGTTTCACGTTCCACAACCCCTGCGGAGATGTGAATCGGCTACCCACCAAGAGGAAACTAGTTGCTTGACCTCTAAGGATTTCAGCACAAACGAGTTTGGTACCCTCCCACTTAATGATGTAATGTTCACAACGTAGAGGCTTAAGTGTTAGCACTTCCGCCAGTTCCATGCGAGACCGTAGTGGCCCTTCAACGACCACCTCAGATCTATGAGGAATGGGCAGCGAAGGGTCATCGGTTGGAGGTGCTTGTTATGAAGTAAAGGAAACCCTTCTTGAAGAGATGGGCGACGAACGAATAAATAGGAAAAGTTGGCGGATGGAGTTCATTGCTCCTCTTTTTCTGCGTCTGTTGGCCGTACGTGTCTGTCTTCCATTAGTTACGCTGGAGTCATGGGGCAGTTCAGCGGCGGGGAGGGGGTTTATTGCCCTTTTGCTCAGGGTATACCATTACGTTGTGAAACACATGAGGGGGAGGTACAAGAGACATACCTGCGCTGGGGAGGGAAGGTCGTATTTTGATCTTGTGGTCTTGTTGGGAGAGGGAGGGGGTCGTATGTGCCTTTGAAAAAAATTTGCGCTTTGGGAAAAAATTTCACTCGGTTGTTGTCTTTTCGCGTTTTTCCCGTTTCGCATTGGCTATTAGTCCACCCCCCACTCGACGGGAAAATTTTCGTTAGAAAAAGTGAATAGTGTGGGGATTTGGGAAAACTGGTAGGAAAGCGGAACTTACAGAAATGGTTAGTAGCCGTATTGGGTTGAGGAAGGTGAGGGGAGAGTACCGAGATCCTCTTTTAGGGGGGGGGGATTCCTACTGACACCATGATTTCACACATCACGATGCAGTACCTTGCTTTTACTACTTCACATCAACGTGTCGACCCCTCATCTCGCGTTGACAGATTTCACCATGATGGCTTGACGAGCTTCAGCTTCACAAGAGTTCACAGGTTTTAGCAGAGTGAGACTTGTAAGCCGGCACTAGTGAGCAAGAAAGTGCAAAATGGCATTCCCTCCCCCTCCCCCTCCTCCGCCTCCCGTCGCCGAACCGCACCGAGTTATTGTTTCTGCTTTCGTCCATGGGTTCCTGACAGAGCTCATCATCCGTTGTGATTTGTAAAAGATATGCAAAACAAAAGATTGGTAAAATGGGAGACAGTTTAAACACTTGGTAAAATGGGAGACAGTTTAAACACTTCGTAGCAAAAGATGGAATGAATGGGGTTGTGTTTGGCTGCTCAATTCTGTCGTGACGATGTTTTGATGTTCTTTATTTTCGTCTCACGCACGCCACGTATAGTTTGTAAAATTGCGAGTTGTCGGAGGCGGCGAACGCAGCGCGGCACGAGCTCGCGCCCGGCTGCCTTGTTCTATACTCGAATTCCCTGAGATCGGGTAGGCGTGGCTGCGTGGCTATTTGATTTTGGAATGGTGGCGGCCCAGGTTTTTGTAAGATGCTTTCATTTTGGAGCAGTCGTAATCATGCCTCATCTAACACGAGAACAAGTACAGTTGTTTGAAATTGAACGTGTCTCGAGTAATCCGAACATATTGCCATGCTCAAAAGCCACGCCTACTCCGTTCGTGATAAGCGAGTGATACAAAGTGTGGACGAGGCGAGAGCGTAGTCGCATTGTAGGAAGGAATCAGCCATCGTGGGAGGCGCAGCCGGAACCGCTGACTGCGACCGAACAGATCTTGGTGATATTCTATTTATATAAACTGTACCTTCCTAACTGCTGGCGTCGCAAAAATGCTAATTCTGATTGTTGGTGGGGTGTGTCTACCTCATACTTCTCCCTCAATGGTAAAATTTGAAGGGGATTTTGTTGATATTGCAGATATAAGAGGATTGCGTCAGAGCCCCACTTTCCTCCTATCTGCCTAGTTGTATTTCAAAATTTTCCATGAGTCATTATGTGATTTGGTGTCCTGGCATGGAGTGCAGAAAGCCCATAAAGGACGCTCAGGAAACTAGTTGTGTATTTACTTCTTGTTTCGGAGAATTTTGTATGAAATGGGTTCTAGTTGGCAGCCTATTACATGAAAAAAAGATGAATCCGAATGCTGCTGGAAGAAACTACATTCAAACAAATAAGGGCATCGTTTCAGTTATTCCTCAGACTATTGTCTACTACTTTCTCAACCAGTAGGCTCATCAGCTGATTTTGTCTTTCCTTCAGTAACAGGGCACATCTTTCGAAGGATTTTCGTCGAGTTCGTGGATCTCCCCCCCCCCCTAATTCCCTCCTCTGATCGATGCGTCGAGCGAAATGAGGGGGGGGAGGGCAACTGCGACCCTCGCTGAAACGGGGAAGGTGGGGAGGAGAATACTGCCCCTCTCCCATTTTGAACATTCACTTTCCTAGATTTTCCCAACTTTCTACCACTTTTTTTAGTATTTCTCAGAATTTGCCGGAACTTCTCCTACTTTTCAAAAGTTTTGCTGCAATGGAAGAGCGGAGGGGGGGGTTGAGGGCTGGCGAGCGACAACGACCCCTTTTATGGCGTCCGGAGAACGAGGAAAATCAACCATCAAAAAAAATTCTCAGACTAAATACGACTTCTCCTCCCGCCAGCGACCAAATACCACTTCCCCACCCGCCTCTTCCTCTATCAGTTCTATTGCCACACCTTTTGCAGTTTGAGAAAAGGTTCCATTGTTGCTTCCCTAGTAAAACTTCTTTTTAAACTAACCGATCAAGAGAAATTTGAACGCTATTCTGACGTGAAAAGAAGCACGGTCAACTTCGATCAATCAATTCATAAATTCCTCTTCACCTGAAAAAAAGGAGATTTTGCAGAAATGACGGCATCCCCTCGAAGAGGATCGCTAGAAATTTTAGTATAGTCTGACGGATCTTCCAAAACATTTTGAAAGAGTGACTAGGGGTCCCTAACTACCGGATGTTCATCGACCAAACCTGATCTAGTATGTGAGAAAGGTCCACGATGTGCGTGAGCTGATGAGGTAACAGCGTGGAGGAACATTTCAACAGCAAATTTTGCGCAATTAAAATAAAGTAACGATTCGAAAAGTCTGTGTGAATAGGAAGAGGAGGAAGAGAAAGCTCGCCGCGATTACATTGTTTCCAAAAGATGTCATGGCTTAAAACTGCAAAATGAAAGAGATCGACCATGAGATGATCTTTTAATCTGGGTGGATATCAACTACATACAGTCCTCATCATTACGGACTGTCGGGGCGGCACAGCCGCGCTGCACTGTGACGCGACAGCGGCTGCGGCTCGGTGACGGTGAATCAGCTGATTTCGATGGAATTCGGCTGCAATTCCTACTTTTTCAGCTCTTCAAGCTTCTAAAGTGGAAGGTGAGTTATTCTGAACAATTTTGAATTGTACTGGCTCTGATTTCCTTTATTTTTATGTCGATTATATGCTCTTTTCCTTGTATTTTGCCTTATTTCAGGCATTTATTCAAATGGCTTGCATTCTTTCAGATTCATTCAGAGTCAGTACAATTTAAAATTGCTCAGAAATAACTCACCTTCCACTTTCGAAGCTCGAAGAGTTGAAAAAGTGGGAATTCGCAGCCGAATTCCATGGAAATCAGCTGATTCGCCGTCACCGAGCCGCAGCCGCTGTCACATTGCAGCGCGGCTGTGCCGCCCCGACAGTCCGTAATGATGAGGACTGTATAACGTTTCCTGGTCGTATTATCTCGTGCGCTAACAAAGACCAGTTGTTTCACAGCAGCCCGGGCTTCTATCAACTTGGTTTTTCTGTAGGGGCTCGATAAAAGAGAATTAATTAGAGAATCCAGTAGATGAACGAATTCTGTTCCGTCATTCTGCATCGAAATGCCTACCGCTGAGCGCTCTTGCTTACCTTTTCCATGGTAATGCAATTTACTCGATGAAATTCATAAATGATCGCAGGTGCTAATAATTAGGCAACGTTATACATCTTTTCACGCTCCCTTATCAAGCGTTCTC